GGGAACTTTTCTCGTCCCGCTTCTTTCCGATCTGAAGGCCACCATGGCCATGATGCCGATCAATGGTCGACTGGCCAAGCAACTCCACCGCGTCGCTGGCGATTTCCATCCCCTGCGCGTCACCATGACTTCCCGAACCCTCAGAGCGACGCGGACGTCACCAGAGGCCGTTCGCCTAGCCCGCGCCGGGAAAACCAACTGCTGCGACATCCGAGAGCAAGGTTGCCAATCATCGAGACACCGAAAAGTTCCCCCTATAACCGCAAGAAGATATGATAACAACGACGACGAATACGACGACGATTACTAATGCCGTTGAAGTTGTACGTGCATATCTTGGCGTTCTCATTGACGGACATCACGTTACAGCACTGGTCGACACAGACGCCGACTTCTAGATCATGCGACAAGAGCTCGTCGACGGCCTTAGAAAGGTCAAGACACCATGGACAGAGCCGCACATAAGGAGTGATGGTGGCCAGCTGATGACTCCCACGAGTAAATGCACCACTTGACTTCACATCGGGATCCTAGCTTCGTGGACACTTTTGTCCTGTTGCCAGACTGCTGTAAAGAGATAATTTTGGGCATGAATTCTCTTCGAGATCATGGCGCTGTTATCAACATCCCTCAACGTATGGTGACATTTTGCGCCCATCCGTATGTCGACAACAGCAGCGACGAACCACGCGGTCGTTTGCGAACAGCCGGCGATGTGACGCTCCCACCGAGATCCTGCTGCCTTGTGTTGGTGTCCAGTGGGTGGCCTTACTATACGGATGTATTAGCGGAGCACATAGTTGCTCTTTTGCTTCTTCAAGGCATTTACATCGCGAGAGGCGTCCTGGCGCTTACTGATGGACAGGCAGAAGTGCTCCTCACAAACTTCAGCAACGAGCACCGTCAAATCCAGAAGGGTACCGCAATTGCCTACTACGACAATGTAGACCAAGCCGGGGATTTTTTTTTGCTTTGCAACCGGACGACGTGACTGTCTCTGCCTCGACAGCTTTGTCGGTGGACATCTGATCCACGCTGCCGCCCTCTGATAGGAAGCGTCTGCTTGAACTTATACACCAATTCGAAGACTGCTTTTCGCGTACGTCAAAGGTAAAGCAGACACCATTGACCAAGCACCGCATCATTAGTGAAGACAACACGCGACCAATTCGGCAGAATCCCTACCGTGTGGCTCCGAAAGAACGCGAGAAGATTCGTAAGCAAGTACAGAAGATGCTCATGAATGACGTCATACAACCTTCTAAAATGTCCTTGGGCATCCCCCGTGCTTTCGGTCAAGAAAAAAGATGGAAGATCTCGCTTCTGTATTGATTATCGCCAGTTTAACCAAGTCACAAGGAAAGACGTCTATCCCCTACCTCGCTTAGACGATTCACTTGATCGGCTGCGTCATGCGCGCTATTTCTCTTCAATGGACGTCCGAAGCGCCTATTGGCAGATAGAAGTCGACGAGAGAGATCTTGAAAAAAACGGTCTTTGTGAATTTAAAATGCTTCCTTTTGGACTGTGCTCCGCGCCAGACACTCTTCAGCGTCTCATGGGTGTACTATCAGGCCTGAAGTGGCAAACATGCTTGATCTATCTTAACGATGGTATTGTATTCTCAGCAACATTCGAGGAACATCTCAGCCGTTTATTCACCGTCCTCCAAGCCATAGATTGGGCCGGCGTTACTTTAAAACCAGAAAAATGTCATTTTGGTTTCAACGACCTCAGCTTCCCGGTAGGCCACGTCATCAGTCACGAGGGTATTCGACCTGACCCTGCCAAAATAGACGCCGTAGCGCAATTTCCTGCACCACGCGACAAAAAGGCCGTGAGACGCTTCTCAGGTTTGTGTGCCTATTATCGGTGATTTATCGAGGACTTTTCGTCTATTGCGGCGCCATTGACACGACTCACACGTGAGGACGTCACCTTCTTTTGGGGTAACAGAAGCAAATGGTATTCAATGAACTACAACAACGCCTGCAAACACCTCCAGTCCTTGTGCACTTCGACCAGGAAGCCCCTACAGCACTTCACACTGACGCCAGCAACGTAGGTCTGGGTACCGTTCTGGTGCACTGGCATGACGGCTGTGAAAAAGTAATAGCCTACGCCAGCAGAACTTTCTCACACGGAGAACTACTCGACAGCAGTAAAGAAGTGCCTCGCCGTGGTGTGGGCGGTCATCTAATTTCATCCATATTTGTATTGCCGCTCCTTCAAGGTTGTTAGCGACCATCAATCTTTGTGCTGGCTCAATAAGCTTAAAGATCCATCTGGCCCTTTGGCATGCTGGAGCCTAAAGCTTCAAAAGTTTGACATGACCATCATCTATAAATCTGAGAAGAGGCACACCTACGCCGTCTCTCACGAGGAGCTTATCGCTCCTGATGACGAAAACATCAACGCGGCATTCTTGGGAGTTGTCAACACGGCCACTATTGCACGAGAGCAGCGCAGTGACCCTGAGCTGTTACCACTCATTGATTATTTAGAAGGACGACGTAAAAAGGTGCCGCGGTTATTTGATACAGGACTGCCATCTTTTTGCTTGCGAAACGATGTTCTCTATAAGAAAAAGTTCTCACCAACCGGCAACCCGCACTTGCTCATCGTGCCTGCCTCTCTTCGAAAAAAAAATTTATGGAGGCGTGCCATGATGAAGCAACTTCTGGTCATCTAGGCTACAACCGAACATTGTGCCGACTACGATGCAAGTACTACTGGCCAAAGTTACCTGCAGCTGTTAACCATCACGTGCGAACTTGCACCGATTGCCAAAGACGCAAAGCGCCTCTCAGCAAGCCAGCCGGTCTTTTAGATCCAGTCGGAGCACTAGCAAAGTCATTCACCCAGATTGGAATGAATTTCTTGGGTCCCTTTCCAACCTTAAACTTCCACAACTGGGAATAGATGGATTATTGTAGGCCACCGATTACCTCTCCCGTTATGCGTAGACTAAAGCTATGCAGCGCGGCACAGCAGCAGACGCCGCTCAGCTCTTCATCGAAAACATCGTTCTTTGGCATGGCGCTCCGACAGCAGTGATCACAGACAAAAGACCTGCCTTCACCGCACAGCTTTTGGAGTCAGTTCTCAGGCTCAGCGGTATAGCTCACTGGAGAACTACATACCATCCGCAGACAAACGGACTGACGGAACGCCTCAATAGGACCCTCACAGACATAATCAGCATGTACGTTGACACAGAACATAAAACCTGGGATCAGATATTGCCGTACGCGACCTTTGCCTACAACACCACTCGACAAGAAACCACTGGAATGACACCGTTCAGTCTGGTCTATAGTCGCGAAGTCACGGCAACATTGGACGCCATGTAATCGCATGATTGTGACGACATCCATGTGGACGCCGAAGAATTCACTCAGCGCACCAAGGAAGCCAGACAGCTCGCGCGCGTGCGCATCTGTCACCAGCCGCATGAAGATGCACAACGGTACGACCCCCGACACAAGTTCATTAGTTTTACACACCAGGCGACAAGGTCTGGGTCTGGATTCCGATACGTCGACGTGCACTGTCTGAGAAACTGCTAAGGCGGTACTTTGGCCCATACAGCGTCACGCGACGCTTGAACGACGTGAACTACAAAGTTTTCCCCGACACTGATTGTAGTTCTAAGCGCCAAAAGCATTTACCCGAAGTCGTGCACGTCGTGCGTATGAAACCGTATTTATCGAGGTAATTAGCTCCCGGTTACCGTGTTGGTGTGACCACTTCATACGCCTGGTAGAACGCCTAAATTGCGCATCGGGACGATGCTTCTTTCGGAGGGAGGCAAATGTCACGTGCTTGCTCAAGAAAGACAATGGCAGTTGTACATGTCCCATGAGGGACTATGAAATGGACGAAAAAGAACTCGCTTGCGCGTTCTATTAAAGAGACCGACCTGCTTCTGGTGTCTCAATATCTGCGGCAAGACCTTTGTTTTGACGTCAGGACAATATACTTGCCACAGCAGTACAGGCCGCAAACGTCCTCACCCTAAAGCGTATACAAAGCACGCATCAAGGCACCAAAGGTTCGCCGTGCACTCGAGCATGCTCATTAGTCTAGAAGTGCAGTGGCGTCGAGAACACGGAAATTCTCATCTCTTGCTCTTAAAGGAGTGGTGGCAGAGCATTTGTGAACCACTAGTATCATTCTTAATCAGTGGCTACTAACTCGTTATTAGTCGCAGTAAAACTCATTTTCCCCAAAGCGAGACGGATGTTTAGTTGTGTGCCCGTGTGCTAGCACCGGAGGCAGTTTAGATTTCCAGCCCCACCGCGGTGGTATAGTGGCTATCAGGTACTCTGCTGCTGACCCGCAGGTCATGGGTCGAATCCAGGATGCGGCGGCTGCATTTTCAATCCAGGTGAAAATGCTGTACGCCCGTGTGCTGAGATTTGAGTTTGCGTTCAAGAACCCCAGGTGGTCAAAATTTCCGGAGCCCTGCACTACGGTGTCTCCCATAATCATATGTTCGTTTTGGGACGTAAAACCCCACATATCAATGAAATAAGTCAGTATAGAGTTCGAGGCGCATTCGGGGACCCGTGACAAAGTCGGCCTATTTGACAACAATCATGTCACCACAAAAGCCAGGGACGTCACAGGCCAGCTTCTGCTATGTTGTATAAGCGCCGCTGTTTCCTCCGCTGTGTGGATTGCTGCGAGCCCTTGTTTCCACAATCATCAAAGCACGTTGCTTATCTAGTGCGGTGATTGACGAAGGGGCTAGGAGGAGTGCAGAATTAAGTCAGAACACCTCGATTCACTTCGCTAATTTAGCCGGTGGCTGTGGTTTTGTTCTTATCGTCCAACTGAGTCGACCTTTTCCGTGAGCCTTCGGACAGCAGCGGCATTAGACGGGCTCAAGCATTTCCAACCGCTCATTTGTAAAGTAGCAGGTGGACAAGTGACGAAGGAATCAGTGAAATAACTGCATTAGAGCTCTATTGCAGTGTACGTGTATCATATTTAGCTGGTATGATGTATACGCTTTAATGACACGTATGTATATCGGGCAACACTGAGTTCTCAAGGCATACTAATTCCACGGACGCACGTTGGAGTTCCAAAGCAGTTAATATGTCAACTACACAGTGGTGGAAGTAGAGAGCTTTAATTTGCTTCTAGGCTTCCAAAGATTTTCAGGCAGGCAGCCTCAATATCGGCACTCAACAGCGGCTTGAGGTACTAAGGCTATATATATTGCATGGTCGGTGTAACTGTGTAGCGCGAACACACCGTCCCTGGGGTAACTTCCAATATGCTATGATGTGCACATAGTTGGGCGCGCACCTTCATATTCTGTGCTAATTTGATCTGTAATTTCAGGCTCTATGACGGGTACACTATCGTTTCACTGTCTTACATTGGTAAGAGCGTTTAGGCCATTGAGAAGAGAGCGTGGTATGCATATTACTATGCGTAAAAAGACCCTTATATAAGGTGCAAGGGTGTTGCGTTTAAACCCGGTAGAACCACCTGAAGGGTCTAAACCGGTTTTCTTCGAGGCCGCTCTCTACATAGTGCTCCTCCTGTCTATGCCGTAGCTACTCCATGAACAAGTCGATCAGGCAGAAGCATTAGACCGTATATTAAGCCTCAAGTCAAACCATATCCTTCACCGACGTCACAAGAACCTTGTAGGTGAGTTCGTATCCACGGCTTGTATTAAGATAGTCATTCTTGCTCTCCGGGGGCATGCTGTGGTGCCGCAGTAGGTGGCGCGCTGACAAGTCCTCGAAGCCTGTTCTACTGCCTCACGGCGTACTTCCACCTGAAGTCCCGCACTCGGTTGCCGTAAGGGCTGCTGGGGTGGTCCTCGACCCTTGTTAGCCGGTCTGACACTGCCCGCCCCGTTTTGCTGGTGATGCAGGCACAGGCCACCGTGAACGTCTCGTTTCGGAACGTCGTTGGTCCGGCGTTTTCTGTGTAGGCAACCTGGAGCACTTCGCGTACCTGAAAGCATATATTTTTTTTTCAAATCAAAACTCGAATATGCCCTTCGCATCTGGATATCCTGCCAAACATATCGTAAATAAACTCAAATGACTTCAAATTCGAGATATCGGGTTCATTTGCTCTGCATGTTCATACGATATATCAGCGTCTCACTTCGAAGTTTTGCAATCATTTGTCATGACATACGGTGTGAAATGCCTTAGAAAAATTTCATAATATAACGTCTGTTTGCACGCAATTGCTAATGAATAGCGCGAAATCGTGAACAACTACTGTTAGCTGCGTTACTGTCGATAACCTACTACGAAACCCGTGTTGACTAGATGACAAAGTACTATTGGTTTTCAAGAAAATGGCCAAGTGTTTTAAAATTATGTGTTCTAACATTTTGCATCATGTGCTGGTTAACAATATTAGCCTAAAGTTTGAAGGTCATCGCTATTGCCTGCTTTGGGATTCGGTGTCATTTGAACTTTTTTTCCAGTCTTCAATCAATTCAGGGAGAGATTTGGTGAAAATTAAACCGAGGTATTTACTGCAACATTCTGTATATCACCTAAGAAATTAATTAGAATGGCGTACGGTCCCGAAGATTTTTAGGGGTCCAGTTTCAGCAAAAGACTAAGAACTCTTGTCATTTACTTGTATTGCATTGACTCCTGAAATACTAGGGGGTGTAATGTGCGGGATATTTGCGTTATCTTTCGTGAAAACAGAGTGAAAAAACCTGTTGTGCGTATCAGATTTTGCCCTTTTTTGTTCTAATACCAGTTAGAACAGCTTTTTTTTTCTAATTTGAGAAATAGCGTTACGCGATATTGGTATGAAAATTGGTATGATATTGGTATGACCTGTGCCTGTCATTTTGATTTTCGGAGCCTTCATTCGTGGGTTCTCCAGTGGGAAGGTATGCGTGGCTGTCTTAGAGTGCGATAATATATTAACGAAACTAATAGGTTGACTAATTAACCAGTACCATTATCTTATCGTATCTAAATCATTATATACGTACGAAAATCAGACTATTGCTCTAACTTACGGAAAGTGTTTTTAATTTAAGTAATTATATGCATCAGATCAAGTACCGCAATTTTCATAGGTAATCTGTGATCTTTCTATATCGTAACATTTATCATTCTAAAATTGCATTTTATTTAAAAATAAACACTCAATTCTTGCCCAATCACCCCCTCACAATGGTTATGCGCCAAGAGCAATAAGTGAACACGAACAAGAACCAACAAATGGCTGCGAATCGACGGCGTTGAGCCGTAGATATCGACTACGTACAACCGGAGAATACTGGGTAACAGTAAAGACAACGGCTGCACCGAGAAGACTCCAAAGCCATAAAAAGCCTTCGCCAACGACAGCGCGTCCGTAGATCCGCTAGAGAGCGCTTGGTGTCAGCGCGAGTTTCCGGCGCTGGAGTTGGGACATCCGCGAAACGTCTGTGACCGTGTACGCTTTAACTCGAACCTCTCAGCGATGAGGACGTATACAAAGAACCTATAGCGTCATCTATCGCAGGGGTCGGCAACCTGCTGCCCGCATGCGGCTTGGGGGTGGGGGGGGGGTAATATTATGTGGCCTTCCGCACGACGTAGAAACGCCTCCTGTTATCGATTCCTATCTAAAGACGGACGTATACCGGTCTTGACTTAAAATGGCTTTTTCACGTGTTGTCTACGCTTGGTTGCAGCTCTCTGACATGAATGTGGAAAATAAGCGTGATTTATAACCCATTTTTTAAAATTATTTTCAATTTGCCGAATTTTTTTTCTCCTGCAAAGCTCACTTACACGCCAACCCTGCTCCCCAACCCATGTTTGCTATGCGGCCCCCTGCGGCGTCTCTTTCGTGCAACTTGACCCTTCACCTCAAAAGGTTTGCCGACCTTCGATCTAGCTGAAGGCCAACAACCACCTAGAAGTCACTGAAAACAAATGACGTGCATTTTCTAGCCAATACCTAGAAACAACCTAAAAGCAGCCAAACAAGTCTTCGGAATCGTTCAGTTTCGCTGCATCAAGCCTTGTCCGACGCTGTGTCAATTGACGATCATAACTTAAGCGATTTATTCTGAAGCATGGCCGCCCACTGATACCAGCTGCGCTCCTCGAAGGTATACGGATATAAAATACTCCTGAAACCACTTCTGAACTGTACGTGTCGCGTAGACTTGCTCTGTATGTCTGCTGTTTTGATTCATAAGATTATGAGAGTAATTACTCATTGGTATTTCGGAACGTTAATGCTAGCGAAATGAACTGTTACAAAAACGACTGATTCAGGAGGCGAGATGATCACCGCTACCACATGCTCTAGTTAGTTACCATTACTACCTGCATTAGTAACCATTACTAACTGCGCCTGTAATGGCGAGGGCAATAATAGTTGCTAACTTCTCCGTTATTAACAGCACTGACTACTTGGTTAGTAGCATATGTGACAACTAGTTACTAGAGCGAAGGCGAAGTGCAACCTTTTTTGAAAGTAAACGGAGCATCCAGGCTGTGGGCGACATTGGGCTGCGTGCTTCCATATCTTAAAGAGCTCAACCGCGGAGTATGCGGTCATCGTCACATGCGGGACCGTCACGTATGACGTCATTGCAGGCGTGGTACTTCAATGTCCGGCCTGGGTTTGGCACTGGTAATGGTGGTAAAGGAGCTCATGATTGATATGTGTAGTTTAACGTCCGAAAACGACCGTATGATTATGAGAGACGCCGTAGTGGAGGAATTAGGAAATCGAGACCTACTGGGGGTCTTTAACGTGCACACATATCTGAGAATACGGGCCTACAGCATTTTCATCTCCATCGAAAATGCAGCCGCCTAGTCAGGATTCGATCCCGCAACCTGCGGGTCAGCAGCCGAGTACCTTAGCCACTAGACCACCGCGGTGGGGCGGTAGTAAAAGAGTGATAACGGCGAAGCACCCAGGTGCAGGTTGACAGCCCTCCAATGATCAGTTACCAGGCCTATGTATACACTTTAAGGCAGTGGCGGCAGAGACAGCGTTTTGGCTACTTTTTGGCTATCTTCTTGTTTCCTTGATTTTAAGCAATGTCGATACCTGGAAATGTCGCAGCCGCTGCCCTTGGGGAAGGCTACTTTCTGACTAATTCTTCTAAAATTTGCAATTATATTCCCATTTTTGAAAGAGGGCAAGGACCCTTCTTTAGCTTCAAGTTATAGGCCTATTGCACTTACAAGCTGCTTGTGCAAAGTATTCGACAAAATGATAAACTGCCGACTTCTACATATTCTTGAAACAAACAATTTGCTCGACCCATTTCAGTGCGGGTTTCGAGAAAGTAAATCCACCACAGACCACCTCGTTCGTATCGAGGCACAGATAAGAGACGCCTTCGTCCATAAACAATATTTTCTCTCTGTGTTCCTCGATATCGAAAAGGCGTATGATACAACATGGCGTTTCAGAATTCTAAGAGACCTGTCCCACCTTGGTGTGCGCGGAAGAATGTTTCATATAATCGAAAGTTACCTGTCAAACCGGACATTCCGTGTCCGTCTAGCAGTGTGCTCTCCCAAACATTTGTCCAGGAAACAGGCGTGCCACAAGGTGGTGTGCTTAGTTGCACACTTTTTATCATGAAATGAATTCTTTGCACTTGTCCATTCCCCGCATGATGTTCTATTGTACATATGTCGACGACGTTCAGCTTGGCTTCAAGTCATGCAACTTAGCCATGTGTGAGCGGCAGGTTCAGATGGGTTTAAATAAGGTCTCCAAATGGGCAGACGAAAACGGATTTCGACTTAACCCACAAAAAAGCACGTGTGTCTTGTTCTCTCGAAAGAGAGGCATGCACTCGGAACCTGACATTCGGCTGAACGGGCAACGTCTGTCCGTCAAAGCCGAGCATAAATTTTTAGGCCTAATCTTGGACAACAAGTTGACCTTCGTACCGCACATCAAGTATTTAAAAACAAAATGTTTAAAAGCCATGAATGTTATAAAAGTGTTGTCACGTGCTACGTGGGGTAGTGATAGGCAATGCCTCATGAACCTCTATAGAAGCCTTATTCGTACCCGCTTAGATTATGGGGCCGTTGTCTATCAATCTGCCACTCAAAGTGCCTTGAAGATGCTTGACCCCGTGCACCATTTGGGCATCCGCCTTTCTACGGGTGCTTTTCGCACCAGCCCCGTAGAAAGCCTTTATGTTGAGTCAAATGAGTGGTCGCTTCATCTGCAGAGAACTTACATGTCCTTTGTTTATTTCCTTAAGGTGAAAGCAGACAAGAAGCACCCCTCATACTCTACAATTAATGATTTGTTGAGCTCAACTCTGTTTCAAAACAGGCCTTCGATGAGGCAGCCCTTCCCAATTCGCCTGAAGTGTCTAGCTGAAGAAACTGAAGTGTCACTTGAACACAGTTTAATGGCTCCTGTAGCATACCCACCACCGTGGCAGTGGCAGAATATAGACTGCGATGTGTCTTTCTTAGAGGTTACAAAACATGCACCTATTGCCCATATCCGAACATACTTTCTGGAACTTCAACACAAATACACATGTCCTGAGTTCTTCACAGATGCCTCCAAGACTAACTCCTCTGTGTCCTACGCTGCTGTCGGCCCATCCTTTTCGGATGCTGGCCCTCTACGTCCACGCACAAGTATCTTCACAGCGGAAGGTTACGCGATACTGGTGGCAGCTAAACACATCAAACAATTACAAATACAAAAAGCAGTAATTTATACAGACTCCCTCAGTGTGGTAACGGCTCTGCACAGTCTTAAAAAACAAAAAAACCCAGTCCTTGTCTCACTTTACTCCATTTTGTGCACACTTTACACGCACAAACAACATGTTGTAGTGTGCTGGGTGCCAGGGCACCGTGAGATCCAAGGCAACGTGAGGGCGGATCAGCTCGCTGCATCCGTCCATGAGAGCATCGCCATTACATCCATATCAATCCCGGCCCTTGATCTTAAGCCGTCTCTCAAACTAAACCTCAGGA